CTATGTGACCTTGGGAAAGTCACTTCAGATCTTTAAGTCTTTGTTACCTTGACCAATAAAATGTGTCATGGTAATCAGGTGGTGACGAAAAACGCCCTGGAGGCTTTCAGGTACAAGGAAATGACTCAACAACTGAGTTTCCAGACTTACTGATTTTATCATGTGATCTTGATTCTGCTATGATTTGATGATTCCCAAGAAGGAGTGTTACATTTCTGTGTACTTTTTATTACTTCAGATTGTTTATAAGCACCCTGAGGATTGAGGTGATATTTTGGTTATCACTGTGTCTCTAATAACAGAGAAACTGACCCCAGAGTAGAAACTCATTATGAGTCTATTCATTCAGTGATGAATTAGAGATGACTTACTCAAAATGAGCCGTGCAAAGTTTAGTCTTATCATTTGGGAATTTTTCTAGGTTAGAGACCGCCTGGGCTGCTTAATAATCTCATTATGTGTAGAGAGAAACATTACAAGAGGATTTAGCCGTTTAAGTGTCCCCAGGGCAACCAAAGATATACCAGCTTCTTACAAAATGCACTTCTGCTTCAACATAAAAGATCAGTTTGGGGTGGACTGGTGATTATGGACTAGAAAAATTAGCACACCTCTCTTTCCTCAGATGTTGCCATAAGAGAGACAACAAAATAATGATACCTAAATTCAGAAGTATATTAGGGGAAAACATTGTGAGCAGAGACACCTGTATATTATTTATTCTACTTTATGTTATGTTCTTCTGAGGTCTGTATAACCATTACAAGTTGTAATTCTTATCCCAAGAAAAGAAAAGTGGATACCATGCAGACAAAAATATCAGTGAACAAGTTTGCATCCCAAAGTGACTTTCTTTAAACATCACTAAGAAAAATAAGGCTTGAAATTCAAGCTTTGTAGAAAAAAAATTGTTTTCCTATATTTTAACCATTCCTTTTATGTTTCAAGTATCAAGAGTATCAGATTTCTGTACTACATAACATATTATAACAAACTTAGTGGCTTAAATAATGCCCGCTTATTGTCTCACAGTTCTATGTATCAGGAGTCTTGGCAGGGCTTGACTGGGGCTTGTATTCAGGGTCTGTTGGGCGACTACCAAAGTCTGACAAAAATCAGATTCTCATGTGGAGACTTGATAGGGAAAGACTGGAAGAATCTCCTTCCAAGTTCATTCAGGCTGATGACAAGATTTATTTTCTTTTAGCTGTAAGATGGATTGCTGAGGCTTCTTACTGGTTGTTGGCTGGAGGCTGTCTTAATGTCCTAGAGGCAAGCAGTTTCCTGCCATGTGTTCCTCTCCATAGGAAGTTCATGACATGACAGTTGCTTAATCAAGCCCATTTTTCTTTAGCCCCTTTTAAAGGTCTCTTTACACTGGTTTTTAGCAATTTGATTATGATTAACTTGGTTTGTTTTGCTTTGTTTTTATCCATCTTAGGATTCATTGAGCTTCTTGGATCTGTAGATGTATAGTTTTAATCAATCTTTTTGTCTTATTTCTTCAGAATTTTTTGCTCCAAATCTATTCTCTCTTTATGGTATCCCCACTATACATATGATGAAACGGTTCATATTTTGTATGGTTCTTTAACTTGGGTAGTTTCTATTGTTATGACTTCAAGTTCATTGATATTTTCTTCTGCAGTGTCTAATCCGTTGGTAATCCCATCTGATTGCTCTTTTTCCATTCAGATACTGTGTTTTCCAAAAACTAGGAACTCCGCTTTGCTCTTTTTATATCTTTTGATTTGCCTTCTTTGTATGTTTATTTAATTTTGCATAATTAAATCTAATCTTAATAGCTATTCTAAAATCTTTGTCTGTTCAATCTATCATCTCTGTCATCTTTGAGTCTATTTCTATTTGCTGATTTTTTTTTCTAGTTATGGATCATTTTTTCCACTTCTTTACATACCAAGTAATTTATTTTGATTACAGCCAGTTGGAATTCTACATTTTTTTTCACGCTGTATTTTGTTGTATTTCTTTGGACTCTCTTGGACTTTGTTCTGGCAGACAGGCAAGTTACTTGTGGATCGGTTAAATTATTTTGAGATTATTTTAAGCTTTGTCAGAGTGAGTTTAATGTTGTTTTATGTTGGGTCTCCTTTATCCTTGTTACTAAAGAATGATCCTTCTGGGGTCCCTATTGACTGGGCTGATATTCAGCAAAGACTCTTCTTTTCTGGCTGGTTGAAATTCATATGTCTTCCAGTCCTTCAATCTCCTAGACTCATGTGGCTTACAGATCCCTATTGATGTGTAGCTTAATGTTCAACAAAGACTCAAGGGTATAACATTATTCTATTATTAGCAGCTCTTTCTCTGTATAGCTCACTCCTCTCTGGTACTTTGCCACCACCTCTTACTCCTTGTATTTCAACCTCTGTCTTTTCAGTTCAGCATGACCGTTGCTCTCCTTGGTATTCTTCTGCCTGTGTTGTGGTCTTGAAGATACCTCCAGGCAGAAAACCACCTTCTTGTTTTCCCTTCTGTTAGGGTCCCCCCACCCCGTTCTTCATATTCAAAACTTCTTGATTTCTATTCATCCAGATCCAGAATGGAATATTAATTTGTTTATGGAGATTCATATTCCTCTTCAACTTCTTTCACCTCCATTTTATCTTAGGCTCATTTGATCAACCGTGTAAGTTAATGACCATCCCCTGCATTTTACAGACGAAATTAACATAAAAGTATCTTTGAGTTGGAGAGCTGGATTTGAAAGTTTTAAATCTGCAAAACATGTTTTCTCACTCCAAGTGTGGTATTTCCCTGTTATATCAAGTCTTCTTTAAATGCCTGTTTAGTTTGTAAAAGATAAAAAGTGAAAGGCCAAGCTCTCCTGTCTCAGACCTTCTTGTTCTTACTGATGAGCGTCCTTGACAGTTCTGAGGAGAGCAATTTAATTGTTTAGACTCCCCACTTAACACCCCCTCAAACGCCCCAGGGACCAGTACGTTCATTAACTCTTCACAGTTGGTCTAGCACACGCTGGCTGCCTTGGTCCTTCTCTTCCGCAGCTTTTTTGTTAATGTCAAGGACCACTCCACAGACAGTTGAGGAGGCCCGCTGCAGAGACCCTGCAGAGATGGATCAAAGTGTAGCGTGAATGTATGTCTTCTGCAATGACTAGGTCTGCTGGGGAGCTAAACCTGTGTCAGATGTCTCTCCAGTGGAGTGGAGTGATTAATACCCCTTTTATTTTTTTTTTTGTCAGTGGGACCAAACTGTATAAACCAAATAGCAGAAAATTAGTATTATTTTCCCTTTATAGTAACTATTGATTGAATGCTTTGTATGTGTAAGTTTCTTTACATATTGATCAATTTAATATTTTAATCACGCTAAGCAAGCATGATTTGTCTTCATATTTTACATGTGCAAATCTCATACTCAGAGACAGAACATGTTTCCCCAGTGTTGCACAGCTCATAAATGTTGGAGGAGGCATCAACTCATTACTGCCTGATTGAAAAGCAATCTTAATTGTTTTCCTAGGTTTCCCCAAATATCCCTGCATATATGTCCCGGATGTTAACGTTACTGTATTTGTCAGGGATTTTGAGTTATAGGCAATAAAACCCAAATCTGGCTAAATTCATCAAACTATTAAAAATATAAAAAAGCATTTAAAGAGAATTCAAAGGCAAAGCTTAGGGACCAGACTCAGAAAGATCAGCTGAAAATGTACATCTGGGAACTAGGAATAGGAAAAGAAAACAACAGGACAGTGCTGTCGGGTCGCTGCCGTTGGGGCCCATTGGTTCCAGTAGGTGGTGGTGGTTGTTTTATTACAAAGTATTCCAAACTCATGAAAAAGTATACAGAATAATAAAATATGTATTCACATATTCACTGGATTTAATAAACTTTGTAAATAGTTTGACATTTTTTACTTCAAATATATTTTATTAAAAAATATGATAGACACAACTAAATCCTCACCCTGTTGTCTTTCACAGGTTACCTCCATTCTGAAGTTGGTTTATAGCATCTCCACTTATGCTTTGTGTTTTATTACATATTACTATCAACAAAATACCAATGAGGAATTTATATTTCATATTTTTTACATTAATATAAATGTTGCCATATTGTATGTATGCTTATCCAACTAGCATTTTTCATCTAATATAATTTTTTCACTACATGTAGTTTTTTTCTGATCTAATTTTTAATATTTCTATAGTGTTTCATTGAATAAATCAATTTTTATATAATTCCCTGTTGAAGAAAAAGGTCTAAATCATACCTACTTTTTTCTTCAGTAATAGTATTGCTCTGTCTTTATTCATGATTTCTTCTCTAGAAAAGAATTGCTGAGCTGTTGAGTACACACCTGCTTCAACTTTACCAGATTTTGCCAAATTGCACTTCAAAGTGCTTGTAACAACTACTATGCCAATTAGCAGTGTAACTGAGTTTCTATTTTTCTGTATTCTTATTAATATTTGGCAATTTAGGTCAATTCAGCGTATACTTAATGAGCACATACTACAAGCCTATAACTTCAACATTTTTCAGAAATAATAGTAAACAAAAGAAATAAAAATGTGTATCCTTATAAAACCTATATTTTGGTGCAAAAACACAATGAGTAATATAAGTAAATGAAAAGTTTTATTGTTTTAGAAGATAACAGGTGTAGGGAAAGTCAGCCTCACACACAGTGACTGGTCCCCTCTCAGCCTGGGACCCGGAACACTTTCTAACCAGATAAAGAGTCCACACAGCTAGGGAGGGGCGTATTGCCTTGTGTGGGGATGTCTTTCCTTGTTACAGGACAATGAGTACTTTTTTTTCCCTCTGCTTGAAGTGTGTGCATCATATGGCATCTGTATAGCCCCACTGCTCTGTCCTCCGTGGGAGGGGCCAGGGTTCCTTCCACTGGCAGGAGAGGGGTTCACGAGGACATTATGCCCTGCAGTGGCTGCTTGGAAAGGCCTCCAGTGGGGGAACGATGCCCACTGTTGGTCTTGCTGGGTCTCTGTTCTATGTAGTGGGGTGTCATTCCATCCAGTGCTTGGCTGTGTTGTGTTCTCCTCTGTGACTCTGACAGCAAGACACAGTGGGGAGCTGTGTTTGGAGTCCTCTCTGGGGACTGAAAACCAGAGCAGGGTTCTCTGCTCCACGATTATGGAGAAAATCAGAGCAAGATACAGTAATAGGAGGTGCTGGAGGGAAGGTGAGAGTGCATTTTCAAGTTAACTGCTAGGGGAAGTTGTTGCTGAGAAAGTGGCATGTAAGTGGAAACCTGTTGACTTCACGGGGGTGTAGGAGCACACCTTTTAGTTATTTATCTAGGAGAAAAGCCTGCTAGACATAGGGACGAGAAAGTTAACTGAAATGGGACTGTTCCTGGATTTGTGTTTGTGTTTGAGGAAGCAAGGAGGCCACTGGGGCTATGAGTGGGACAGGGCATAAGAATAACAGGAGAGTTATTTTGGGTCTTGTTAACCGTCTTGAGGACCTTGCTATTCATCTGAATGGGATCTACTTCCGGACTTTAAACACAGGAGTGACATGGTCTTATTTGACACTTGAAGGGAAAGGACACCACTGGCTGCTATATTGAGAATAGATTCTAGAAGAACAAAGATGGAATTAAAATGCCAATTAGGAGGGCAGGCAAGAGCAAGTAACACTTGAATCAGTTTGGCATTGCTGAAGGTGATGAAAAATAGCTGGATATTAATCAGGTTTTAAGATTTTGCCAACTGATCGACATGAACTGGATTCTCATTGTTTTTTTGGGTTTGGATTTCTTTAATTTATAAGGTTTCATTTTTTTCACCTATGACTTTTTTACATTCTCTGTAATCTATCAATATGATTTCCTGTTGATTTAGATATATTTTATGTATTGTTCATCCAAATATTTTAATTATATTCACCTCAAATATTATCTCCCAGAAGTATGGACTATCTTTTAACTTATTTGTGAAATAAGTACATTTATATATTTTTTACTTTAAATATATTATTTAGTAATATTTTCCCTCTATAATTCATGAATTTGGGGTATTATTTTCCTCCTCCTCCTATTCTTTCTTTTTTCTTCTTCTTTTCCTCCTTCTCCTTCTTCTGGTTTAAATTGCTTGTGTTTTTGATGTCATATCTTAGAAATTATTGCCTAATGTAAGATCACAAAGGTTTACTCCTGTCTTCTAAGAGTTTTAAATATTTAGATCTGTGTTTCACTTTAAGTTAAATTTGTATATGGTATGAAAAGGAAGTCCAAACAAATCTGTTGGTGTATTGATATTCATTTATTTAAGCACTATTTATTAAAACACTCTACTTTCCTCCATTAAATTGTCTTGACTTCTTTAATGAAAATTGAAGATGAAAAATGAAAATGAAGATGAAATGTTCTCCATCCTTATCTCAGTCTCAGTTATGTAATTCTGTGATAGATTTTGAAATAGAGATACATAATTCTTGCAAATTTGTGCTTCCTTTTCAGAATTGTTTTAGCTACTCTGATTCTCTTCCATTTTCATATGAATTTTAGGGTCAGCTTTTCAGTTTCTGCAGAAATGAAAAAAGAGATTGGGTTGGATCTGTTGATGGATTTGGGGAGTAATGCCATCTTAACACTATTAAGTCTTCAGGTCCATGAACATGGTGTCTTTGTATTTATTTTGATCTTTAATTGTTTTCAAAGTGCTTTGTGGTTTTGAGCATACATTCCTTAAACTCTGTTCAGTTTGCTCATAGGTATTTTTTCTTTTTGACCTTATTGTGAATGGAATTATTTTTTAAATCACCAGCTTTCTTTTGACCAGTGTTTGCCTGGTATAGGTTTGGAGCTACTTTTTTCTCATGAAGGCCCCTTCTTTACCCCTGTCCAAAGCATTAGGCAATGCCAAACTCCTTCTTGCTGCCCAGCTAAAGTGGGTGAAATATCTCCAAACTATTTTTAATTGGTACTCTGGCTTACTGCAATGGCTTGAGCTCCTGCTTTGATCAACCCAAGACTTTGGATGCAATGAGTAAGTTAGGACCCAATAACAGTTGGTTGCTGCTGGTCCAGTATCTTGCATCTCTTCATCCCCTTAGGGCTACTTTAGCTTTAATTGCAATGCTCAATGATCTAGTTGTCAATTATCTCTTAATTTCTTGCAGCTGAGTTTTTCCTTCCCCCGACCTTGCAGTCTCCTCTATGCATTGAAAATAGTGATATTTACCCAAAGGTTGAAGATCTTTATAAGGATGATTTCCACTCTTGGTTAGTCTGCCATATTGATGAACACAAAATTTCCAATGATTCTGTATTGTTCTTTGTTACTTAACTTCAAACAGTACTTCAAGTCTAAGAAGAGTGTTCAATTGCTGTAGATAGTCCACTTGTTTACCTTTCCATGGGGAGGACAGAACACTCTATTCGAATGGCTCATCATAAATGCAAAGTAGAGTTGCTCCAAAAGGAAACAGGGTTGCTGTTGGCAGATCTTTTATGAGAACAAAGTGGTAAAACAGACTACAAGTCAAAAACAATGCACTTGCTCTTCAGTAAGAGACTGAAACATGTGGCTGCCTTTAGCAGTAAGAGAACCCTTGATTTTAGCTGCATCTATTTACATTCCAAGAAATGGGATTCTGTTAGTGAAGCAGAAAGGAGCTATTGGAGTCAAAAGGGAAGTTCTAAAATGTTTAGTCATGAATGTGCTTTTCTGTGTCACTAGTGTTGGGCCTCATGACTTGTTCTGCCCAATGAAATGTGACCACAGAGATATGTGATCATTCCCGGTGGAGGCTCTAGTAAACATGTGCTTTGTTGTCCTCTCTTTCCCTCTGCCCTAGACGCTGTCATTATTCCAGATCATGCTTCCTTGTCAGCCCTGGTTGTAGAATGAGCATGATGCTGGCCTGGGAGCAAAAACCTAGCTGTTCTCCAACGGATGCCAAGCATTAGCATCTTTGCTGTCTTATGACCCAGAGATTCAGCAGTTGTTCACTCCCCAGGATCATAAAGCTATCAGAGGCCACTTTGGAGACAGTGGGCTTTATATGAACAATCAGCATTCTCTGCCACTACATGATTACTCAGTTTTGTAGATGAGGAAATGCAGGTTCAAGCAGGTTAAATAATCTGCCCAACTGCATATAGCTAATTAATAGTGGAGGAATTGTCCTCCAACAACTATATTTGTAAAACTGTGCCATACTGAATTGCTGGATATTATTTTTATGACACAAATGGCTCAAACTACTAGGTACTAAAGTGATTTTCATGTGTAAAAACTCCTCCTATGCTTAATATTCCCCAGGACTACTCCAGACCCTCAAACACTAAGCAACCTTATTTTTATTACAAATTGAATCTTTTGGAATGTTATCTGGTACACTTCATTTAACAGCAATTACATTTTTCATAGGTTTGCATTAAATAATGTATTAATGAACAGTGTTATAAATGTTCTGTCATTATGGTCTGCAATTAAAACATCCCAAAGAGTCTTGTGCTAATGATAATAACTAAATTACTGACACCTTTAGAATCAGTGTAACTTTCAAATACTGGGCCTGATATGGAAATTCAGTATGGTCAATATTAACTTCAGCTGTCACAAGATGCAGACTTCCTCATGAATAAGCATTGTTCAACCCGTTTCAAAATATATTCCAAACACCTGTTTCCAAATCAAAATAGAAATCTATTTCCAAAGGCACCAGCAAAATGTGCAAGCATATTAATACGGGCTAAACTTTATTTCCATCAGTTGACTACACCTGAAGAATTTATTACATTGGATTGGGACTAAAAGAACTCACTTTGGCCACTTTGGAATCTCTGATAAATTTGTTAATTACTGCCCTAAAATATCCCCTTGATGTTGCTAATATATCATTGAGATACGTGTCTTTAACAGCAATAGTAATATTTAAGATTTGTTTAGTACTTTTCACCTTGAAATCACTTTCATGTAAACTCTCAAATACATTTTAGTGTAAATTAGCTTAATACCATTTTAGAAATTGAGAAATAGAGGCTGAGAGATAATAAACTCAGAAGGCACAGTAAAGGTGATACACAGAAAGTTCTTTTGATTCTAAGAGCAGCATTCTTGTCAATGCATGACAGAAGGAAGGTACCTGCCAAAGACTTTGAAGTGAGGCGTTACTCAGTCAGAGTTACACTGGGAAGGGAAGCATCCCAAAGATGCCAGGTGAAATCTGTGTGGTCTTTTAAGTCCTTTACCACTGTCAATATGGAGGAACCTCCACTGATGCAGATGCACATAAAACTTGCAGGTGAATGAACTCTTTCTTGGAGATGGAACTTGGATTACAGATCAAGGAAAGGCAGTGAGGTTTACAATGGTATCATGGATGCGCTAGTTACCTGTTGTGTGACAAACCACCACATAGCACAGTGGTTGAATCCACAGCAGCCTTATTTAGATCTGCAGTTAGGATGCATGGCTCCTTTCTGCTCCATGTGACACCATCTGGGTTTCTGGAAGGATAAGCTTGGAATCCTCTGAAGAACACTGGTTGCCTGCATGGACCTTATCTAGGACCTCAACAGGAACACCTGCAAATGGCCACTCCTTGGCTTCCTCACAGCGTGACAGCTGGGTTTTGAGAAGCAAAGACCACAAGGGATGGTGATGAAAGCTGTGTGACCTTGTAAGATCCTGTAAGACTGTTAAGACCCAGCCTCACAAGTGACATGGTGTCACCTCTGCCATCTTGCATTTTTAGCCCCTGTTTGTTGAATCTCTAAGCCTTGCCCTTATTTCCATGGAGAGTAATTGGACTCACCTTTTGGTCACAGGAATACAATACATTGACAGAAGTATTTTTAAACCATCACAAGCTTTTTAAAGACTAATATGGAAATATTAAGACATAAAATAATGAAAGAAAATCATGGACAGAAACTGTGTGGTTAATTTTCTCTCATTTTTTGAAAGTGGGAGAAAATAATACATACGTATATTCACTTATTTCCCCCAACACATTTCTTCGAGCTTAGTAAATATTTATTTCATGAATGAATACTGAGTGCATCCAAATTAGACTCATCTCTACCATTTATCTTCATGGGCGTATCAAGGGAGGAGTAGGGAGCTGACAGCAAACAGTCTTTTATCCATGAAATCTCAGTGAGATGGACACTGAGAGAGGCCTTTTAAGGAGGAAAGGGATGTTTTTGAAGTGGTGTTTGGGAGAAGGTGTCAAATATATATAATATATAGATACAGGGATGTCTTTTGTCCCTTGGGTTTTGTGGTGACATCATTTCTAAGGGAGGGAGAGGGAAAAGTTGAGACGAGAGTGAGGAATCAGGGGAGAGAAGGGTGGTAGAGTGTGTTGGGCGGGCAGGGTTGCTGGCTGCCTGCGCCAGAATCTAGGAGAGGGGAAAGGCATGTGGCTGCTTTCTGAGAAATAAAAGGAGTTGAGTAAGTAAATTCAAGAGGAACTCTTATCAGGCCACACTGTGGCATGGGTGACATTTATTTCAGCTTAAGGTCAGGGCTGGCAACCAGCAGGGCCTGGGGGACTTGAAGCCCAGAGAGGTAAAGAGAAATGCCTGAAGTGCTTTGAACACAAACTGTCCCGGTGGCTAGGGCAGCGGTGCCCCGCCTTGAGGCCGTGTTGTTATCATGGGCTTGTGGAGCTGAAGGCTTCATTTTATTTAGCAAACACTTACTTACAGTCATGTGCCAGACACAGTTCTGGTGTTGTTTAACAAACATTCATTCATTTAAACCTCACAACATTATGAGGAAGGTACCATTATTTTCCTCCCCATCTTACAGATAGGAAAACTGTGGCATGGGGATCACACAGGAATCAGGGACAGCACGAGGCAAGCAGGGATTCAGTCCCAGAGTGCGTCCTCCCATGTCAGCGACCTTGTCTGCATAGCGTAGATCAGAGCGCCCTGAAGCCAACGCTTGACCCCATGCTGTGCTCCCCCTCACTCACTGAACTTGCTCAAGGCTTTGTTGATATGAGGAACCCTAAATTTCTGGAAGAATAATAAAAGGGGACCCCAGTAGTCATAACATCAGCAGCTTCTGAACCAGGACATTCCCTCTTCAAGAGACAAGAGACCTATAAGTGACCTTCTCACTGATTAAAGGCAGATCCCAGGCTAGAAGCCAATTTATTTAATAGATGCAATATTTTATTAAAATTCCCACCATATTGGCTTTATTTTCCCTTCTAACTGCCTGTCTTTGTGGGGAAAGAATTCAATGAGAAATCTGAATGTATCCAATTTTGAGCATTTATCTTAACATTTGAGGACTTGAAATCTGAAATGTCTGTCTCAATCCAGCTGGTAGGTTTATCACACTGTAGCGTGGAAAGTGATTGTCAGTTTGTCTTTCTTTTTGCCTTTATTGTATTTTTTCTTTTTTTCCCCTTTCAAAGTGCTTCGCGGGGCCGTGTGGTTAGGCGTGCTGATTAGTGTCTCTAACAGCAGCAGAAGGTTGCCTTCCAAACAGGGATGAGTGAAGGTGGCATCTTGCCGTTTTCTCTAGGAAGACGCAGAGGCAGAACTCC